GGCGGCCCCACGCTTCTTCCCTGCATCCCCGTTTCTCCGCGGGGCAATTCATTACACGCTACCTCGAACAGTCAGCTGAAAACTCCCTTCACCTTCTACCGCTCTGTTCAAAGGTGCTCGGTAAAAGATCTATCTTTTACTATGCATCAGGGGAAGAAGTGTAGTTGTTTTATGCATCTTACCCGTTAAACCGAGGGCCACCTTTTCCTTTAATCCTTTATCACTAAGTCCTGCCTATGTCTTCCCCTCTGCTTTAGGAGAACAGAGTCGTCCTTGACTTCTTGGTCTACTTCACTACATATGAGGCGTGCACTATTTGGTGTTGTGGCATTTCATTTTAAAGGCTTGGGTATGCATGTTTGGAAGCAAAGAGGCAGTCCTCTGCTATGAACAGACCAGCTAGAACTATAGACCATGTAAAAAACAGGATGAGAAAAAATCACTCTCAAATATGTTCCTCAAAGAGCTTTACTAGAGGGACAAGGAAATAATTGTGATTACCCAGCTCCGATCCCTAAGGTTGAGGGATGTGATTATTTGCTTAAGTTGGTCATTGCTCAGTTGTTTTCTATAGTAAGTCTTTTCCAAGTGGTGAAAAAGAGCCTTGGAAGTAAGGCAATGTTTTGACTGCACAGTAAAATCCCATTTATTACATTTATTACTTCTGTGGCTAGTGCAAGGGGAAAGAATGCCTTGACAGGGGTTGGTGGGTTTGAATGAAGCACTTCATATTCTAGACTACTTGCAAAAAGTGACTTCAGTGTTTTTACAGTCACTGTTGTTGGCTTTGTTTATTTGATGCTGTCTGATCAACAAGTTTTTGTGCGTTCTGCTGTGACTGTCTCCTCCCGTGTATTGTGTACAGAGGCTAGGCACATAGCTCCAGGCTGAAGACTTCATACAGATGCTGGGCTCCTCAAGGTTAGATGCTGTGATGGTGAATGTCAGTGTGCATGTTAACTGTGTGCATCTGGCCAAAAATTTTACACCAGTCACAAAGCCAAGTAAATCAGATCTTGCAGATAGTAAAGTAGCTAGTTGTTATTTTGGAAAGTAAAACGCCTTTATTTCTAAAAACATAGCAAAAACAGGTAAGAACATTCATACACAGAAACCATTTTAGGAAAATGAATGAAAAATTTACTAAGATACAGACCAAAATGAAACAGGAAGGAAAGTGACAACCCGCATTTCACAAAATCAGTGGCATAGAAGAGGACATTTTAAAACTGTTTACCGCCAGAGAAGAGAAAGAATGAAATTCTTTGCCACATCTTCCTCTGTCGTATTCTAATTCCCTTTATTCTTATTCTCACTTTTCTTTAAAGGTAGGAGATACTACTTTAATTTTGAAGAGGATATCATCATCAGTTTTAAAATAAAAATATTTTAGTGCTTATTTCTTAGAATTATTCCTTCCAATGGCGACCATCCCAACAGCAGTAAGATTACTGAAATACTAGACTTTACAGTTCAAGTCCTAGTCAATACAGGTGACTCCACATAACTTTTATTTTGTAATTTTTTTCCCCTGGCGCACTGCTAGAACTGAAGATACGGAGACATTTGTGGCCTGCAAAGCAATACAATCTGTTCAGATGTATCTCTCTTCTGTCAGCATAAACAGAAACTTTATGATAGAAGAAAAGGGATGGGTGCACTTATAGGTAAATGGAATGGGTATAGCGAATTTATGACCATCACTGTTCTTCTGTTTTATACGTTAAACATATCTCGGTCTGTTTTATCCATTAAACAGACCGAGAGTGTGACATACTCTCAGTCATTATGTCAGAAAGCTAAAGAATAGAAAGTTTCCTGTCTGGCTGTTAACTGTATGAGGTTGAGGGTATGAACAAAGCTAAAACCAATTATTCTTCTGGAGAGGGTTGTGTATTGACATTAGAGGCAGAGTGTAGCCCTGGGCTAGTTCTAAATTAACCCTGAATTGTGTAGAACAGGGGCTGGAACCTTGCGGGTGCAGAAGCTTGCTGGTCTTCAATGGTTAGTTCAGGGTTGGTTTTTTTTTTTGTTAAATTACTGTTGAACTTCCCAGGGGAAATACATCTTTTCTTCTTCACTCTTCTCTGTGACACTCTTGAAAGAGAATAGCTGTGAAATCAAGCTCATAATTCAACCTGAGTTAAAATAAAGTTACAACACCATAAGCAAATCACTGCTACTGCAAAGTAAACTACATCCCAACCTCTCTAGGAACCTACACAATTCCAGCTCAAGATGCAAAAGATACAGGCCTTTCCAAGGGGCAGTCAAGGGTGGACTACATTTTGGGTATTTTGGAAGTTCTGTCTTTTATAGAGGGAAGACTGAAAGATTAAGTCTGTGTAGACTTAATGTAACTTTTGTGGCTTAATGGCCAGTAACAGGGTGCTTAATCCAGCCTGAGTCACTTCCCTATTCGGAAATTAGAAACAGAAGATCAAATGACCATGTGATAGTAAGATAATTTTTGCAGGCCCATGAGAAGAGAACTAATTTGATGAAGTATGTTCACGGAACTACTTGCTAGCATTCTCATAGAAAGAGAAAATGGTAGTGAGTTAGTTATTCCCATGAATGTCAATGAAAACTTTTGTAAAATAACAGAACTTGAAGAATGCTCTATGTTATTCTAAATAATGATAAAAGGCAACAGAGGAGGAGACCAATTATTTAAAAAAGCAATTTTTCATCAGGTAGTGAAACATGCCAGCCCTATTATAGTATTGTGTACTAGACGAGAACTAGCCCAAGAACTCCCTTGCCTTACAGAGTAAGCAGCATTGTTTTTAACTCTGAATCCTCTCCAGGTGTTTTTGGCAGAGTGAAGATGAGCGGTGAAGAGATTGTTGTGTGTGCAGTACAACTTGGAGAAAATTTCTGCCTCTATTTTGCAGGTAATTAACTACCACTGCTGAAAGAGACACACTGTGTCTTCTTTCTGCATAGAAGATCCAAAGCTGATACACAATTCAGTCCTTGCCTTGGGCTGGCGTCTCTGGTTTTGTGGAATCCCCTTTTTTTCCCCCCATCTTACTTGAGCAATCCTCAAAGCAGTTACAATCCCCACCCACTTAGAAGGATGATAGTTCTTAGATTATGGAGCCAGGCCGTTCACTGCAAAAAGAATCTGAGTTTGAGACAGCTGTCCCAGTATGTTAACAGGTCAGTACCATATTGTTGCTGAACACCTTAAGCATTTAATAACCTTTTCTGTTTGAATACTGATTAAAAACAATTCCTTTATCAGTCTGATTTCACCTACTTTTCCCATAAGCTTCAGTTTGAAGTACTGTTAGCCAAGTATCTGAGTCAGTGGAATATTTGTTGCTGCATACAATACATTTCCGTAAAGGACACGCAGAAAAGTTGGAATACTGTGGGCTGGGCTTGGAATAAGCGGATAACTTCCAATCTTACAGGATAAAGTTAGTTAGAAAACAGTCTCTTCTTTAGAAGCAATTTGTAATGACTCTTTCTTGTCCTTTTGCTCACTTAAAATAAAGGTGCTGAAGAAATGAAAAATTTGCATGCCATTTATTTCTTGGTTATAGGCTTAAACTGACGTGAGCTGCTCACCCTTAAGTAACCCTAAAACATTTTGCATGCCTCTTGGTTTGGTGGTAACTCCAGTTCTCAAATGACTGGTGGTTTTATCATTCTGTTGAGTTTGTTATGCTCACAAAACACACTCTGTAGTTAGAACAGCTCAGCTTGGTGAGTTAGTGATGCTGTGGGGAGTACAACTGGAAACGCGTAGGTGGCTGGCTGGCCGACTTCCAATCTTACAGAACAAAACTGGGTAGAAGGTGGTTTCTTTTGTGCGGGCAGAGCTTAACGTTGTTTGTTCTTTCCTTTTTTTCATTGCTCACTTGGAACCAAGACGATGATGGTAAGCTGAAAGCTCATCATTTATTAACTTATCAGTTTAACCTGAACTAACCTGCTCACGCTTACTAACCCACAAATGCTTTGTGTGCCTTAGAGAACAAGTTTTCAAACTGATAATGGCTACTGTGAAAAAGAGAGCTACACCGCATCTTCTCCTTCTGAAGTTGATGTTGCTTTCTTTCCTCCTAAGGTACAGGGTAGTGGCTTCCCTGACAGAAGGACCTTTTAATGCAATTCTAATTGTTGGGCAAAAGAGAGAACGGTTGCTCCTGAACTCTCATTAACAGATACAGTAGCTTCTCTTGCTTATATATACAGACTGCTATATTCTGGGAAATCCTTCCGTCTTACCTGGGTTGCTACAAGCCAGAGGTGGAAAGAATGACATGGCCTCCATTTTGAGATTGCCATTCCAAGAACTTATTTCACCTGGTGTCCTTAATGACAAGATGAAGCCTGGAGCAAATGTTAAGATCTGAGGAGATGACAACTAAAATATTTGACCCTCTTTGCTCACTACTTCTACAGGGCTGGAATGCGATGCCTTTTGTAAGGAAAAAATTCTCCACCGAGTCCTTCGAAATGTAAATAGCCAGTTGCTTGTGGTTCGACCAGATTTAAACATGGCAGCGTTTGAAGATGTGACAGATCAGGAGATGAAATCTGGTACACCATTTTTCAAATACATACTATATCCATTACACTGTTTCTTTATTCTAGATGTGCTTTTGTTCTTTGTAATCACTGACTTTAAATGATGAGACTGAGAGTAAAGACTTAAAATTCATTTGTAAGAATAAAGCTAAGTAAGCTAAGAGAGCTGAAATCCTCTGTCTTGTGCATTGGTAACAGATTAGATTCCTGGATTAGACTGAGGCCTGCAGGATGTCCCATTCAGAAAAGGGCCGCTAAGACTTTTGGTTAGCTCTGATCACAAACTAAGTTCTTAATATCTTTTTTTTTGGTGTGTGTTGGATTACAAAAACCAAACATTTTTAGGTTTAAACAACGTATTTAACACTAAAAGCTCTTATTTTCTTCTAACAGCATTAGTTAACAATGAACTTACGGTTTTGGCTTTGATTTTGGGGGGGGCTCAGCAATTCATTCAGAACTATATTTGTTGAACATATTTATTTACAGATCACATATATACAGATATAATCTGATTTACAAATGACTATTTACAAATCCAATTCTCACTTTATGCATGCACGTAAAAGGATTTCAACATCCTACCCATACTAACTGGTAACTTCACATGCTTGCTTAGAAATTCAAAATCTTGGTTATTGAATGATTGCAGAAAGTCACATATGTGCTACCAGCAGTCATAAAAATTCGAGTCCTGGCTCTCCTGTCAGGAAAAGTATCCTGGGAAGACAGCAGTTGGCACTGGAATGGTAAGACATGATACGGTTAAGTTGTTGCAGCTCTCTCCTGAGCAGACTATTAATAATAATTTATATTTAGGCAGTGGAATGCACTTCAACATTCACTATTACAAGACTACCACACCTTCAGCAGGGATGCCTGTTGCATTCAGTGTCCAGGTAGAAGATAAAAGTTATTACATGTGTTGTGAGAAAGAATGTGGAAAAATGATAGTTCGATTTAGGGTAAGTATCTGCTTTCCATACCTTATGTATATATAAGTAGTAGGCAAAATTAAGAATTCAAACATGTGTGAGCTGAAACAAAACTGCACAGGTCTTGTGCTGGGACTAACCCATTCCCTTTTTCTTCCTCAGGAAGGAGAAGTTCCCAAAGAAATTCCTGGTGACAGTAACGTAATCTTTTTCAAAAAGACTTTTACACCTTGTAGCTCCAGAGCATTTAAGTTTGAATACTCACTAGAACAGGGAATGTTCTTGGCCTTTGAGGAAGAAGGACGCTTAAGAAAATTAATTCTAAAGAAACTGTCAAGGGAAGATGAAGTGGATGAAACCATGAAGATAAGTTTCTAACTTCAGCCAGAATGAAAGTCACAATCTGTGACATACTTCAACAGTCTTAAAATACATTTTGGCTTTTTATGAAGGAGATCTTACTACTTCTTCATCCGAGGCAAGCCAGTTTTATGTTTTTAGCTACTGTGAGTCAGTACAAAAATGACCATCTTACAAAGGAAAATAAATTCAAATTCTTGGCAAAAAGAAGCAGAAGAATGTTTTCCAGTCCAACAGAAGGAAAGAGAATTACACAATAAAGAAACAAGAATGTGCATGCCTATATAGTCCTGTATAGTTGATCCCTAACATCTTTACTGCCTGCTGATCAAACAACTTTTGAATTAGGTGTCCCGTAGATGAAGTAGACCTATTTTGGGGAGGGAGAGAAAACTGCTTAAAATAACAGATTTCACAAGCAGACCACGCACCTGGCCGATAAACGCTTAGAGATTACTTTTTTGCATCAAGATTATTTCCTGAGTGTCTTCATCAGTCCCAGTTACACAGTGACACTCACCTTCAACTGAAATAGAAACAACAGACAATTTTTAACTTACTGGAAATCTTTGCTTTAGAACAACTGAAGTTCTAATAAAGCTGTTTGCCCTCAGAGAGCCCAAGAAAAAAAAAGAATTATGCTGTTATGTAAAGGTTTTTAAAAGTTAACAGTAAATTGTAGGTTAGTGATGAAATGAAACAGACATTTGTCCTTCTAACAATCTGGAACAAATGTAGATATGGCTGGCTCCCATAAGGACCCTATCTTACTCTGTGTATGTGACAACGCAGCATACATTGGGGTCAAGCTGTGAACTCCATTTCGCACTCGGAGCTGAGCAAGCACTGGATTTCACCAAAACCAAAATTAATGTGATGCATTCTGAATATTTAATATTGAGGAAATTGATAGGGCATATATTATTCTTTTCTTCTACATCTAATGTAAGTGTTGGTCTTCCTCTTCTATTCCAACTCCAGGTAGTGGTAACCTGAACATTGGTTGCAGCTGGGGTCCTGGGTCTTCAACTTGCCATGCAGAAGAGCTGGTACAATTGTCATACCCCATACAGGCAAAAGTAATCAGAGAAAACAGAAAGGCCTCTATCTGTCATGAAATGGAGGAAAACCCTCAAACTTGCAGAAGAGATAAGACAAGTCTCAAAACTTGTTTTGGTAAAAAACAAACCAAAACTATAATTTGAGGGGCTTTAAAAAAGCACAGAGACATGAAACTGCTGTGATAACCCTGACTGCCTCAGCTTTTCATGTTATGCTGCCCCTGCCATTTCACCTATCTAGCTGCTACAGGCGCACCCAGAGGCAGTAAGAAACCAATTGTTTAGAATCAGGTACAGCCACCACTGAGTGCACTATTGCTTAGGAAGAATTCACTGGAGGGGCTTAAACTCAAGAATGTATTTAACACATCCGGATACCCAGTAGGACCGAGTCCCAGTTTTATATGCCTGATGAATGTTCAAAAACGGGATTAGACCAAGTGGTTCCAGCCATCACAGTAATTAAGAGCAAAAGTTAATTACAGGGCTTCAATTTCAACAGGACTGAGGAACACACGCGATTCATAGAGAAAGCTGTGGTCATTACCTTTAATTCTTGCCTCAAAAACACGAGGAACTGGTTTCAGAGTTGCTAGCCCCTAACGTCGTAGGTCCGGACTACTACATTCACAGAGCTCTTACATAACTCATTTCTCACACAAGATACCTTAAACAAATACCACATACAGATGCATCTTGTGTTTGGTCTCAAAAGAGGAAATGTCAAACACCTTCTATGATACATGCTCAGGTTGTACAGAGGTACTTACCAATGACTCATCCACATGCATCTTCCTCACTAAGACGAAGTAACACGTTACATTGATACCTAAATCAGACCACATCAGACAGAAGCAACCATCTCAATTCTGACAAGATTAGCAAATCAAAAGCGGCCAGCTACATGGTATTTCCTATGATCACATGAATAAGTAAGTAAATAAATAAATAAAAATTCCAATCCAGATTTAAAAAAAAATTAAATCAGAAAGTCTTGTAGAATTCAAACAGCAATTTATTAATTCTGCTTAGTGCATAATCAGACTGATGGTAACACACAATTCTCTTCCTCTTACTATTAATAGTACCACAGAAGTACCATTAGAATGCAGAAACAGTTAACCACTCCTTACTACTATGAAAGTCAGAAAAGATAAAGGATGCTCTAAAACCTAAAGACATCGAAAAGAACGCTGCCTCAGTCTCATGTCAAGCTATGACAGAAAGGATATGTTTGTTGTCTTTTCAGTCACACAGGAAAATGTGTACCAGTGTTTATTCAGAAAACAAACCCCAAAAATGTTGCAGATGAACATAACGGGTTCCAGGGAAACGATGAAAGCCATACGCTATTTATAGCTCCTAAAATTAATCTGCAAAAGTGTTTTTCTTCTAAGTCAATTATTGCTGTATTTTCTAATGGACATTACTCTTGTATTAAATCAAGTCTAAGTCACCTCTTTAAGTATTAAGGACAATACATATTCATAAAAATATTTTTTGTTTTATAACATCTAAATGAAGTAATGCAGAGTAACAGTATGAACACTAACATAACAGTAAGAATTAGTATTTGAACTTGATTTTAGGAAAAAAAAACACCTATCCGCAGAGAAAACATTTTAAGTAACCCAAAAGTAGTAAAAATCATTCAGAAGCGTGCACACACACGGTTTCTGTAAATTCTTTATTGTACGGATTAAGAAAAAAAGTACTCCCTTTTCTACATCAACTCTCAGGGTCCAAAGAGTTACAGGGTGCGCCTTACATACAGTTCAGTTGTGATGTCAGAAATAACAGTTCAATTTTCCACAAGTCAAGTTCATTTTGCAAAATAGGAAACCAAACAACAGTTATTTTAGAAAAACACTCATTAAAGCTGCCATTACAACGAAAATTACCTTCAGCTATGTAACTCTGTCACTGATGTAATTAATTCCTCCCAATTAACAGTGCAGCTTAAATCAATTCACTCTCACCTGGACATTATCCACTTTAAATCTACTTTTTCTTTTCTAACATTTTTACTGCTGTTGGATATTTATTTCTAAAAGACTAGCTCTGAACTCGCTGCAGTATGTACATACTATGGGCCCTTGGTTATTCATTTGTTTTGCATTAAGCATGTTGGTAAAAATACGATGAAGCAGAGGCAGCAGTGAACAATCATGTTTGTCAGGGACTCGGTCGCATCTTAGAGGCTCCACAGCATGGCAACAGCCTTGCAGATCCCAACATCATAATAGTTGAAGTAGCAGAGGCCGGTGAAGGTAACGGCCGACAGTACGTACAGACCTGTATTGGCCAGTTTAATGGGTGTATCTCCATGGACATAGTCAGTTATAACCTGTCCAAGACCCCTGGAGAATAAGAGGGAGAAGAAAGCTGAAATCAGGAAAGAAGTGTTCCTCACAGAAATCCACCCAGTTTATGTAAGCATTCTACTAAGATGGCTCAAACACATGATTTTTTTCACCTGCTATCATCAACCTTTCCTAAAAAATGCCCAGTTCCCACTCCAAAAGATGATGCATCTATTTAAAACAAAACAAAACAAAATTCCACATATTCTATTAAAAAAATACACATATTGGCTCAGAGTTTTCTTAATGGTACTGAGGAAACAAGGTTCTGTTGGTACAGCTCTTCCAAACAACAGAATCTGTAGAATCTGCCTCCAAGAAACAGCAGGCAGTTTATCTGATTTCCAAGGACTGAAGAAAAGTAACAAAGGAAATAATCCTTGCTTGAACAACAAGGCGTGGCTCTGGGACCAGCCATTGTCACAAATGCACGGAGGACTCCAGGATGTGTATTTAGATTAGAAAACAGTGGCAACCAAAAAATTAGCATACGCTGTCTTTTTTCTACATCTGTCAGACTGGAAGTGAGCTCTTGCCCAGATTTAAACTGTCCAGCAACAGGAAGACAGAGGATGCTAACTAATGTGGTAGTTCTCTTCCCAAAAGCACAACGGTATTTCCTTTCTGCAATGACAGATGTCAACTTGGTAAAAAAAGAGAACCGTATTTAACGCAACAATTTTCTTCCTAGGATTTTGCCTTGGTCTAGCCTGAAGCTGAAGGACCTGCGTCCTACAAATTAAGACACTCTATTGACGTAGCAAGGTTCAAAGTCCTGCAGCAGATGCCACTGCAAGTGAATGCTGAGCTCAGTTTCACTTAGATGGGGGTCTAATACCATTAAGATCTAAAAAGTGAGAAAAGGGGTGCAAGGAACCCCTGGATACACAGAAGAAAAGCTGAAAGTGGAAGCAGTTTGAAAGGCAACTACTCTTAAACTATTACAGCTATTTTTTACAACTGGACAGTGGAGTAAGGTCAGGAGTGCAAGCAGCACTTACCCACACCTTGAGCCTTCCAAAGTGCAGATAAATAAGGCATACTCAACTTGGGATTCACAGGCTGCCCTTCAACTGTAGTGTTGATATGGGATTTTCGTAAGATCTTTTCTTTGCATGACACAGTAAGACTGAGCCATGCTTAGACTTCTCAGAAAAACTGGTGTGTGACTTTACAGCACACTAATTAATTCACACAAAGTCTTCATGGGAAAAGACTAGTGGCCCTGAGAACAAGGAAGGGAATTAGTGAGAAATAGCTGATGTGTGGTAGACACACAATCTAGGTCACAATACAGCAGCTTCACTGGGCAGAGAAATCTTTATTGCATGCCAGCAAAAAACGGTACAAGATAAACATGGCTTCGGGTATCTTGAGTAAGTCTATTGATAGGTTAGTGTTTGGACTGATAACCACCTAAATATCTGAAGCGCTATTTCCAACATATTTTAGGACAAGATTTCCTAAGGAAAAACAGAGCAAAGGTGAAAGAAAACCCCTCAAAAAACATACGCAATACTCCCCTGCAGTTTCTCATCAGCTACAAGAGGGATTATCTGATCTGTTATGGCAATCAAAGTAACGTTTATGGTAAGCAAACAATCTTTTTTCTTTTAATATTCTAGCACTGAATACCTATGAAAGTACAAGACGAGAATTTTCC